TGCAAATAATTCCATTAATTTCGATGATGTATTACACGTGAATGCAGCCGCCACCGCCAGGCAATGTGTCCATTGCCGATCGGCTTCGCACTCCCAGCAGCGTTCGTCACAGGACGACCATGTGACACCACAAAGCGCACACGAAAAAGCGGCACGGCAATTACACAACCAACTAAACTCGAGATCAGGACGTTGAACGCATCACCAAAAGCTTAGTATTAGGCGACAAAATCTGATGTACAACTTCAGGACTGGAGTACTCAGTAACCGACTTCCTGCTTCTATTCGCAGGGTCGCATTGATTACACCGATTCAGACTCGACAAACGCCCTCCGGTACCCATTAATCCCCAGGTTTAACCAGTTAATGGCACACAGCCTACCTCTAACTAGGATAACACCCCATAACTCCGTCACGCACACGGAAGCACGACCAGACAGCAGAATGGTCACCAGTATTGCATCTTCGAAAGTTCAAACTAATTAACCTTCTCATATTGACCGAAGACACTAGTTCCTCACACAAAGAACGAATTGAAAGCGCTCCCTAAATCCTTTTGGAAAGCGTTAATCAAAAATTCGATCAGATAAAAACTTTACTGGGGGATGATGATACATTGCAGATTTAAAAAGAAATAAAGCACACGCCTTTACCGATGAATAAGCAGAAAATCGACATGAAGACGGAAGGCAACGGGAAAAAGTGCTATCCAAATGCTTTTAAGACGCTATCGATTAGACGGTCTGGTATTTACGGATACTTGATTGCAGACAACATGCAACAATGACAGCAGCTAGCTGAAGAAGAGCAACAACGATGGCGACAATGAAGAGTGTTGTCGAGTGTTTTCTAATTTGGGCCTCAGCCAGTTCGGCACATCCCTAGCGTAAAAAAAATAATGAAGTTAACATATGCAACGCCAAAGAGTGAAATCAGTAAGAGAGGAACTCACGACTGTGTGACCCGCACAGCTGGTCGGTACTTTTCCGTTATAGTCTGATGGCCCCGTGACACCACAACATTCAAACTAAAAAAGCAGGTCAGACAATTAAACACTCACGGTTCGTTCAACTTCCTCCATTATGGGAGAACGGCCCTGCGACTTTGCTTCTTCGAGTGCCTTTCGTAAATACTCATAGGCGAGCTTAGGGATCTAGGCAAAAAATCAAATATACGGAGACGA